TTTCAAAACGCAGAACATACTGCATGATTTTGGGGATGCCCTGTTCTTCGGCCTTCTGGGCGTCTGAGACCGCCTGGGAGGCTAGAAAATCGCCCCAACACCATCCGAAAGGGCTTCCAGGCAGTCCAAGAGAGCCCCAAAACGGCACAACAAGGTTCCACGATGGCCTAAGAGAACCCAAAACGGCCCAAGATGGCCTCAAGGCAACCTCCGAAGCATTCCATATCGTTACCCAGTCGTTCAAGGAGACCGCGGCTGGAGGCAGGGTGGCCCGAGGAAACCCCCAGATGACGCTCAGGAGGCCTCCAGAAGGCCTTAAGAAAGCCTTAACAACTTCCATGAGCCCCCCAGAGGCTCTCCAAGGAGGAACCTCCGCAGAAAGAGCTGGGAAGGATGGGGACGAATTCGCAAGGTAGGGCGAAAAGGAGGAATAAGAAGCATGAAGGAAAGATCAATCATCACATTATTGTAACGGCAATGCCGGACAAGGCAACAAGGAGTTATCGCTAAATTGTCTAATTTGACCTTGCTCCCCTTCCGCCTGCGTGCCAAACTTCACGGACCAAGGTGCATGGCGCGAAGCGCCACTGCAGTCTTGTATACATCTCTCTCTATATATATATATGGAATTACGCAAACACTTGTAATATAATTGTATCGCTCGTACTATATATGTATATATATGTATGTATATATATATATATATATAGACATATAGAACCTCGGCCGTGAACACGAGCATGAGCTCTCGGAGTTTGGTGCTTCTTGGATCGGCACTGGGACCCCCGTCCCCAGCTCGCGGAACGCGCCAGTGGCAGCGCCGCAGGCGCCACCTGGGGCCCAGCGCAGATCTAAGACATCCGTGGGCAACTCCGACATTTTTTTGTTTTGTTTTGCTGTCGCTGTTTTACTATGAATGATCCTTCTTCTCGCTCGCATTTCCATTGATCTTTTCTTATTTGTAATGACCATGCCATTGCTTATGATTTCGTGCCGGTCCTTATCACAGTTCTCCACGCAGTGCTTGCACTTAATTGTTTTAAGCTTCTTCCCCAGGCACTCTTACTTGTTCACAAGCCGTGCTTGCACTTAGGTGTTCTCTCTTGCTCCCCAAACACTGCTTGCATTTAGGAATTCTTACTTGTTCCCCAAACACTGCTTGCACTTGGCGATTCTCTTTTGCTCCCAAACAGTGCTTGCACTTGGGGGTTCTTCCTTGTTTTCTAAAAACCTGGGCCTGATCGTCGGTTTGGCGGCTATGTTGTCGCCGTCGCCGCCCCGTCGCCGCCTCGTCGCCGCCCGTCGTCTGGGCCTGGCGGTCGGTCTGGCGGATCTGTTGTCGCCGTCGCCGCTCCGTCGCCGCCTAAATTGCAACGCGTGGGTTGCGCCGCAAATATTCTCCTCCCAACAAAACTTCGGATCTAGCTCCCCCCCCGGATTTATCGTCTCCTCCTGGGATAATACAGCTCACATCTGAATTTGCCTCATCGTTCATCCTACATATGAACTCAACAAATCCCAGCTGCACCCGCTATCACTCCTCTTTTTCATCCGTGTCAAACAATACTATGCGCGTGCATTTTTTTTTTTTTTTTTTTTTTTTTTTTTTGTTTTTTTAAATCATTCATGTCCAAGGGCGCCGTACAAAACAAACGATATAATTTACATCCCTATCGTTTTCGTCACATGAAACTATGCGCCCCCCACGCGCGCACATGTCGAAATTACCTGGGCGCTCTTGCGCGCTTGTTGGGGGGGGGCACGACCCCTGTCAACTAACACCATGCGAGCCAGCGCGCGCGTCGGAATCCTTCCAAAACCTTCATCGCCGACGCGCGGATATCATCATCGTCATCGGCGTGACCAACATCGGCGCTGCCATTGGCCTTGTCGTCGTCGTCGTCGTAATCATCGTCACTGTCGTCACTACTCTCATTATCATCTGCGCTTGTCGACGTCACCATGAAACCACGCCCGCCCGGGTCACCGACCCGCACTGAAGTGCCCGCGCATCACCGCGGCCTGCGAGACGCGTTGGGAAATCCCCAGCGGTCAGCGCCACCGCGACCGCGTCGGTCGCGCCATAGCTGGCCGTTCTGCGCGCGAACTTGCGCGCGCTAAGGCGGCCTCAGCGATGCGCCGGCCAGCGCTAACCAATCATCGCAATCGCCCCCGCAAGGGTTTTGCAAAATAGGTTGCGGATGGATGGGTCGGATGATTGCGCTAGCAATGGGGTTGACAACTCCAAGTTCTTCAACTTCGCCACATATGTTGCACGCGGTCGATTGCTTACCACAAGATGCACCAGTATAGTGCGTCGCGTAGATTTGGCGACATAGATCGCACCGCAATGTCGCACCGCATCTGTTCTCTTTTCTAAAAGAGAATTCGGATCTACCCCTCCTTGCAAGTTGCATATGATTCTGCCCCATCGTCCATCCCAAAAATCAGCTCGTACCATCCCAGGCAGGCCAGTATCGCCCCCCCCCCCCCCCTCGTCCCCTGCAACAGAACAGTTTGCGCGCGCACTCGTTTATCACAAATCGTCAGTTTCCAACAAACCCTGGCAACAAAAGGGACGGAATGCACGCGCGCGCGTCGTCGCGCGCACATGCCGAAATCCTTCAGAATCCGTAGGTGTCGCAAGGGTTTCAAAATCAAGCACCGAGAATATAAAACAGACACACGGTTTCGCAGCGCGGATCTTCAAACACAAAGCTGTCGTACGGGTTCTTGCGAATTCTTAAGACAACCATCAGTTTCCTCTCGCGCGCGCAGGTCGAAATCGCTCGAATGCTTTTGCGCGCGTGCCGTCGCCGTCGCAAGAGTCCCGCGCAAAAGAAAAAAACGAAGTGCGCGCGAGCATCGTCGCGCGCATTTGCGGGAATCCTTCAAACACGTAGGTGTCGTGCGGGTTTCGCCACCGAGTGCCCCGAAAACTCTTGCAACTTCTTAAGGGAGCTTTTGGTTTTCATCTATTTGATTCAGCCAAGCGGGCCTCGCGCCGCATATCGAACTCATTCGAACGCCCTTGCGCGCGCGTGTGTGTGTGTGTGTGTGTGTGTGTGTGTGTGTGTGTGTGTGTGTGTGTGCGTGTATGTGTGTGTGTGTGTGTGTGTGTGTGTGTGTGGAGAGGGGCGCGGTCCGTGTGAAATAATACCGCGCGGGCCACTCTCGCGCGTCGGCTGCGCGCGCGTCGAACTCTTTCCGAAACCTTCATCGCCGACGCAAGGGCGCCGTCGTCGTCGTCGTCGGCGTGATCAGCAACGGCGCCGTCACTGGCCTTGCCGTCGTCGTTGTCATCATCGTGGCCATCATCGCTACTGACCAGCATCGTGTCTACCGTTGTCGACGTTGTCATGATACCGCTCCCGCCCACGTCGCCGACTCGCCCTGAGGTGCCCGTTGGGAAGTGCTCAGCGGTCAGTGCCACCGCGGCAGCGTCGGTCGCGCCGGCTAGCTGGCGGCTTCGCGCGCGAACATGCGCGGGCGAGCGCAGCCGCAGAGGTGCATTCGCCAACGCCGAGCACTCATCGCAATCGCCGCCGCGCGAGTTTTGCAAACCAAGTTGCGGGTGGCCGGGTGGGATAGTCACGTGAGTAATGAAGTTATCACCTTGAAATTCGGCGATGTAACTTACGCGACGCAAGTTACGCCGCGTGGAATGCGCGCCGCGTATATTGCATCACATAAATTGAGCAACGTAGGTTGCGCAACCTAGAATCCTCGACATCGGGCATACAACATATTTTGCACAACATCGAATGCT